GCGTTTAAAATCTTTTCGGAGTTTGATAAAAACGGTGTTGGCAAATGCGGAAGCAATATATAAAACGCAAAAATAAAAGCGTAAATAAAATGCACACCGATTTTATACTGGTTCGGGAAACCCCTACTCCAGTACCTCGAGGCTCCTCCTCAAGGATTTCCGAATCCACTAAGTCCCGGCCTCTTGAACTCCGTCAAAGCACCGCACTAGTTTTGGCAAACAACCCTTCCCAATAGGATTCACTCCGAGATTTCACAACTCCTATCTCGAACCGTTTACAATGAAGATTTAACGGCTATCTTCTACCGTTCCCCCAAGGATTTCAAAGGCTATCCTTGAACCATTACCCAAGGATTTTGTAACGCCCCAAAATATACCATAAAATTTATTGAATTAAATATTCAATTAAACAAAATTTGTTTTGATTAAAATAAATTGTTGTTGGGCTTTGGGCTTGAATAAAATATATATTGATATCCAATAAACATAATTGGGATAAATCTCATAGAGATAAATCCAATATGTTGATTTATTGTGTGATCTTGATTGGGAACCTGAGTACAGACCTTCTCATTCCTCACCAAAAACTAATGAGTTTAGTACCAAAGTGTTCTTGAGAGTGAGGAGAACATGCTGCAGTAGTTGGTGGCCACCGAAGTCGCCAGAGTTGGGAGTTATCATCGCCGGAAGTTTCGCCGGAAAATTCTCAAAACCTTCGATAAGCTTCGAGGTAAGCCCGTAGATATATCTAGTGACTAGAATGTTCATATAGATTGTTTCTACGTTCATAAACGGTCGTTTGGTTGAGTTTTGTGTTTGACATGTTTGAAGAACCAAGAATCATAAACAAATAAATTGTTGTTAAAATTACGAATTAATGACTCTAAAATGATCTGTGAACATTGGAGAACATTTTTATATAATTAAATTGAAGTTTGGTGATTAAAAATGATAATGTTAAAACTGACCCGAGGAAGAAGATGATGAACAGTGGCCGAAAATCGATTATTTACTTACTAAAAATCGATTCGAATGTTATTCAGAGCAGTGGTTCGAAGTCAGTACCATTTAATCGATTATTTATGTTGTAAAAATCGATTATTATGAATTAATTGATTATTTATATTGTAAAAATCGATTCTTATGAATTAATTGATTATTTAAATTGTAAAAATCGATTATTATGAATTAATTGATTATTTAAATTGTAAAAATCGATTATTATGAATTAATTGATTATTTAAATTGTAAAAATCGATTATTATGAATTAATGGATTATTTAAATTGTAAAAATTGATTTTTTATGAATTAATCGATTATTTATATTGTAAAAATCGATTAAACTTAATTAATTGATTATTATGAATTAATGGATTATTTAAAATTATATAAATCAATTTTTATAAATTAAATGATTATTTTAAATTATTTTCCTCAATTCCAGATCCTGCTACGAAAATATTCCTAAAAATATGCTCTAAAATCCTATTTTTGATAACAATTAATTATGAACAATAAAAATATGATTTTGTATAATAAAAATGATGTTTTAGGCATATAAAACATTATGTGATGCATGACGGTAAGTTAGAGTGTTAACACTCAAAACTAGACCGCTATTTGTTATCAATTGTTATGTTGATTAATGATTATGATGAATGATTATTATGGATGATCATGAATAATGAACTAACTGATCAAAATGATTATTGATGATTCAGCCATGAGAGTAATGAATATATTGATAATTATTAAACGATTTGTATTGTTAAACGGTATCTAGAAGAACTCTAAGATATACCTATTAGTT